TTGCCTTGACGAAAATGTAATATATATATACATATACCATTTTTGCCGTTGAGTCTATTAGAAATGAAGACATTGTTGCTCATGCAAACAAGAATTAACACTTTTTGTACGATGTTGTACTCATTCATTTTTGTATCAATCCATGATTTCTTTTTTATATCAATTTAACCACTAAGTCCTTTTACATTGAATGATAAAATCCAAGGTTGAAAAGATAACTTCCAACATTACTGTTGCATTTTCATAAATAAAGTTTGAGTCACACTAGATACACAAAAAATGAAAATGTAATTATATCAAACTGCTTAGGCAAAATGTCTCTCTTTTCATATCAGAAAAAATAACACTTGTATTTTCCCTAAACGTTTATACCATGTATTTTGTATGCATTTTTTTAATGGTTGCTGTACATTCTGGCTGCTGTACTGTGAACATTTGACATAACGATCACGTTTACTGGTATAAATTTGAACGTCTGTCAAAAAGTAGTGGTATATATTAGACAATAACATGACAAAATTTCTCCCATAATACTGATATCCTTGATCACGTATAGTCAATGAACCAACTGTGTATAAGTGAAATTATCGCTTTCGAATAAGAAAGATTTGGTCATCTAACGGACATTTGTGAATTTGGAAATGTGAATATTTCCGTAGCTGTTTGTGATATTTTGATATACACAGAAAGTAAGCTATGTTCAGGCATAAATTTTACATCCACTTCATTGTAATATCAAAAGAAGTAGTCGCAATGCTAGGATTAAGATCTATTAGAGTTCCACTTTATCCAAACATATTCCATCCAAAATTGAATGTTAATAAATGTTGCTATCCGGGAAGAGATCAACTCAGACGAAACCAATGAATGATAGTGAAGGAAGGCTAGTTACCAAAGAGGAGAAACAGGGGAAATAATAGGGTGACCACTTCAAAAAGCTCTTGAATTGACTACTACCTGCAACCCGTCCAGAAATATCACCAGCGACGGCAGAACTACCAGTGAAAACAGGCCCTCCGACAAGAACAGAAGTGAAGTCCTGAATGCCATAAAGTCGTTGAAATGCGGGAAAGCAGCAGGACCAGATGGAATTCCTCCAGAAGCACTGAAAACAGACTCAGAGACAACAGCCGACATGCTCACACCACACCACTATTGCAGAAGGTGTGGGAGGAAGGAGAGGTACCTGCCAACTGATTGGAAGAAGGTCTACCTTGTCAAACTCCCGAAGAAGAGAGACCTCAGTGTCTGCAAGAACTGGCGCGGAATCGTGCTCCACTCCTGTCCACACACAACAAGCAAAATATTAAGCCGCATCATCCTGGAGAGACAAAGGGATGCGCTGGATTAAAAATCATGACCGGAACAGGCTGGCTGGATGGCTGGCTGGCTGGCTGGATGGCTAGCTTCAAGTAGAACAAACCATGTGCGGATCAAATTGCAACACTACGCTACGCTACGCATAATCATTGAACAGAGTGTAGAATGGCAGTCAACTCAACTCTACCTCAACTTCATCGACTTTGCAAAGGCCTTCGACAGAGGCGTCGACCGAGAAGAAATTTGGCAGTTGCTTTAACACTGGTCTTAGTGCCACAAACCTCTGTCAACTTCACTCAACAGCTATATGAAAACACCACATGCCAAGTGATCCACAATGGAAAGCTCGGTGACGCCTTTGAAGTGAAGACAGGTGTAAGAAAAGGCTGCCGCTTACTACCTACCACCCATGATCTTCTTGATTGTGATCGACTGGGCTCGATCATACAACAAACTGTTGGGTGCGAGGAGACGGGCATACACTGACTAGATCGATGGAAATATCCCAGAAGAAGATTTGGATTTCGCCAATGATGATTCATGTCTGATGCCTCAACGCACAGACTCGAAGATCTACAGTCAAAAACCAACAAGTTGACAGAAGTGGTGAGGAAGTGAATGAAGACGGGACTTCAGGTGAACGTAGAGAAGACAAAGGTGATGAAGATACCCAACCAACAACAACCAGAAGAAGAAGAAGAAGCACCAATGACCATCAAAGGGAGAGACCTAAAGGAAGTAGTCTCTTTCACCTACCACCTAGGCAGGGCAGTATCGTTTCAACTACAGACGACAAAGGCACGGATGAGGATGTCAAAATTAGGATAGGGAAAGCAAGACAGGCTTTCACTAATCTGAAATCAGTGTGGAGATCTACTGAACTCAGCACAAAAAACAACATCCGGATTTTCAACACTAATTCAGTCAAGTCGGTGCTTCTGTGTGGTTCAGTAGTTTGCAGCGTCACGTGAAGCATTTCCAACAAACTACAGACATTCATCAACAGCTGTCACATACGCTCACTCGATACTGAATATCGATGAGATGAACAGAATGATGAGAATAAACAACAAGGAACTCTGGCTGGGTGGCAACGAACCAACCAACAACCTATCTCCCAACAAATATGTGGAAGGAGGAGGAGATGGATCAGGCATACACTGAGAAGACCGTTTTGGGACATCAAGCGCCAGATTAGGCCCTGGAGTGGAACCCGCATGGGGAACGGCGAGTTGGGTGTGGCATGTGAGGGTGACATGGAGTAGACCATATGATGAAGGAATGAAAGCTTGTGGGCTGTCGTGGAGCCAGGTTGGGCAGACTGTAGATAAGAGAGTGAAATGGAAACGTACTACTGAAGCCCTATCTCACTAGGAACCCAAGGGAAAAAATAATGATAAATGTTCCTTTTTTCTGTCACATGAACAGACGTAAAAAGGTTTTTAATGAAAATATTGAAGGAATGTTTTTATGTAGTCCTATCCTTTTGTAAACCTAAGCTTTGTCAGTGGCAACCTTTTTCAAAATATGTAAGACTTCATTTAATTTATCCACACATACATCTGCGTAAATTCTTAAGTACACGTTGCAAAATCATCAAGAAGTTTTAATAGACAAAATAAAAAGACATTTTTGTTGTATGTTTTTAATATACAGAACCCTTGAAATTCAATTTTCGATAACAGAAATCTCATTTGCTAATCCACCTCCTCAGAATGAGTAAATAAGAAATTATAAACAGGATAAATCTTGATAAAGCCATTTGTTATGTGATCCAGAGAGTCAATCTGCTGTTTGACACTTCCACGTCATACGTTAGTAATGTATCAAAAGATACAACTTCTGAAACTTTCTGACGTCTTCAGAATAGTGAGACATAATCTGCGGATGATGTTTGTTCAACCAATATATTTCATCAAATACGTGTAAAGTCCAAACGTTTGGAAATAGGTAATGTCAGTGTTCTGCAGGTTGACGCGTCTTATACCGAATGAGCAAGAGGTAGATCACTTAGATTAAAAATATCTTTTATATGTTTCGCAAAACTAAAGTTGAACTGAGGTCTAGTGATCACCTAGATTCCTGTTTTATGCATCACTTTAAATGTCTATTCCCGTTTCATCTTCCCAGTGAGCTGCGTGGTCCAAATAATCAAAAATTTTGCTGGGAATTTTAGTTATCCTTCCTGATATCAGATAGGTTCCTGGTACTTCGAACGAAATTTAGCGACGATGTTAAGCTTCTAACTAAAACCTAAGCAAAACAAAAAACCCTTGATCTTCTTGAACAGAAATCGACTGACAGCGTAATGAAGATTTCCAGTCAATCTGTACAGCAGATTCATTTCCCCCAATATTCGAATTTCGCTAAAATATCTTCCTGGTGTGAAAAAGTGTAGTCACAAATTGTTTACACCACTGTCCCCTGAGCTTCCTAGTGACGGTTCACAAACCATGTGAATCAACAGTAAGCAGATGAATGTACTGCTTGATAAATAGACTTAAGATAACTATCACTGAAATATACCCTCGCATTATCAGTCATCTACATAGCGAACCATTTACTGTTTTATGAACGTAAGGTGTAGTAAACACCGATCGCTTAACCTAACGTCTTCTTATCATTAAAATACGAATTATTATACACATAAGTAACGGATTTAATACAAATCACCTATGGGTGATTGGATGCTGCAGTCCTCAGAAAAATATTATTATCAGTGATTAACAAAACTTTGACTAACATTGCCTTAGTGGGCAAATGAGTTACTGGTGACAGATCACAGCTGCTTCTCGTAAGAGGTTGTTACGAGTGTTTAAGTACATGTTATTTACAACCAGCAGTTAATTGAATTTACTTTTTTGTGCACCCTAACTGTTCCATATATATTTTGTAGCTTGGTTCGTGACAGCAATCCTTAACTAAAGAAATCCATCACTCATCAACATTATTTATAATGGATTCATTAATACGCACCATATTAAATATATTGATTGCAGGCACTAAGGAGGAGGGTCCCTTTAACACTGAGATACCAATCATTTCTAAAAGTGATATGATATATTAATGTTCCTCACAGTAAGTGAACACAGTGAGAATGAACTCAAAGTATATATATATATATATATATATATATATATATATATATATATATATATATATATATATATATATATATATATATACGAACCCATGATGTTTAAAGTACCTCCTGCATTCTGCTAGGGTATACCGTCCGCATAGTTTTTGAAATTTAGCATTATGAAAGGGCATAAAGACGATAGCGTAACAGCTCACTAACTTGCTCATGTTACTTGTAAAGATTTTAAAGGAGGACCGATTCCTTAGCTAAATAAAATACTGTCACCTCAATTTACACTTTTGTTTATGCCGTTTATTTAAATGAATTTTAAAAAACTTTTAAATAGAATCTTTTTTGGTTTTCCTACTGAGTAGCGTAATGCATTGTTTACGTTTGCATCATTTCCAAGGAACCTTAAGTTACGTCAAAATAACTAGTAACTACGTTTATTTACGTAAGAAATTAATATTCTCGTCCAAAATTTGTCATCAAGAGGGGTAGAATGTAGAATGATATTATAACTACTACGTGCAAATCTAGAGCACATTTTAACAAAAGATTTAAATGAAACAAACAAATAAGCTTACAGTAAAATTACCTCAAAAAGAAACTGGCATAAATACTTGAGTAAATTGTAGTTAGGTGATGGTAGATTTTGGAATAAATCAATGTATTCAGGCAGTTCATTTCCATCAGCAATACGATAACCGGCAGCTTTTAATTTGTCATAATATTTATATGGAATAACTGGTTCCGGTAATTCTCTTAAATAATATTTCAACAATCCTGAAACAAGATGAACATCATGTTCATCAGGGATAAGAATAGGACCTGGACAAGCCGAATCATATAAATCAGCTAATGCTTGAATTGCATTCTGTTTTCCACATTTCCTAATGAAATAGTCGAGAAAAGAATACATTTAAAACTCCTATAATCATGGCAACATTTAAATTTATGACAAGTAAAATATATTTCTATTCGTGTCTTCCTTTTTGAAACCAAAACCAAGTATAGCAGATTCGTTCTGAGTGGACTGAGACCATGCCTATTCTACTGTTTCTGTACAATAAGGCATTCACAAAGCTGAATATGTACGTGCCTGTATTATGATTTGATGCATGATATGAAAACTGTTTAATTTCTTTTTAGAAAATCTAACAATCGGATGGTTCAAAGCTAACTGCTTCTTATCATCGTTATTCGTCATGTTAAATTATTCTTGCTGTGCCACTAATATCTAAAAGAATCCGGAAAAATACGCTATTGTTACCAGTTTCTTTTTGATTTTGTCAGTTACAAACAACGTATTTTCGACCCAATACTTTTAGAATTCACTTGTAAATTTAAAATTGTGATTCTACAAGCAAATGTTGTCTAACCTTTAAGCATACCACTGAAGATGCAAAACTGTGTCATGAATTAACAAATATTTTAGAGGCTAACAAATCAAGTGTATGTATACTGGTATATTGGAAAATTGAATAGACTACCTACTTATGACTTGTCACTTGGCTTAAGGTGTTATGATTTGTATGCAGTGAAAGTCATTCACAGAGTAAGGGTAAAGCCTTCATTTCATTACTTTGCTGAATTTCATTGCAGCTACGACCGGTTACGGCTTGTTCAATATTAAACGGATTTCGCTAACCCTTTAGTTCAGATATATGAGCAAATACGTTTATCTACAAGTAACAGAATAACTCGACATACCTTATAAGATATAATTTATAAAAATGTACATTTATCATTAGATTTTCACTCCTTTAAATAGTCAAGCGACCTGACTGAGAAGTATCCATCCATATACAACACTATAATAACTAATATAAACATAGGATTTATTATTCACTTTTTAACCTTGTACAGTTATCAAACACTGATAAACATTGTTATCCATATTTGAACTCTAAGTCACATCGATAGTTACTTCATTTAACTATCTGAATGCATTCATTTATGCCTTTATCGATGCCCCGTAAATGTTTACACACGATTTATATAGAAAAGAAGATATTTAGTAACTAATGTTGCTGTATCAATTTGTTGGCTTGAAAAACGAGTTTTCTATGGCAGAGACTACAGGCATTCACTTCCTTGAAAGCCTAAAATAAATCTCATCTTGGTATTTCAACAGTGAAAAAAAACGTTTGCTTTCAAGTGATAAGTACCACAAGTGAACATATTTTTAAACAAATAAATGTAAATTCTCAAATTAGAAAATTCTTTATTCTATCATAGCCTGTAGCCGGCTTAACGAATAACCTTCTGTTTCTGTCACTTGCATAAATTGAAATGTTTTTTCGTCTTTCTAAATTGCGATATCTCAATGACTGAGAAAAATAACCAGGATTCGTCATTCCCGCCAAACAAAAATTTGAGGTGTCGTTTTAAACGGTAGCATATTCTGAGTAGAAGTTGTCAACTTGGTCAACCGCAAACCTGCAACAAAAGCATTTTTGGTGCCATATATATATATATATCATGAAAATCCCTCTGTAGTTGATTTGAAAATGCTGAGGACGACAAAATCACTTTAATCTTGTTGAATAGACAAACTGAGATTTATTCGTTAACGCAACCAAAACAAAGCGATAACCAACTCCATTCTGGTATAAAGAATATTCACAAAAAGTATTTCAAGCAAATCATTTGTTTCTGAACACTTATGCAAAATTGTACATCTGTGCATTTACTTTCGTAAGTATATTAGCTAAACTATTTACCTTTATTACTATAACCATTTGTATAATACTCGTTATTGTTTTTTGCATTACTTTATTAGCTAAACAGAAAAACATTCAGCCAACTCATACTATGCGATGCTCCAAACACTCATAAGGCACACATATCTGAAAACGACTATACAGAATCCCAGTTTCCAGTTACATTCATCAAAATATCATCTCATTTTAGTATAAATAATGACAATAGTTCATGAACAGAGCGATTAAAAGATTTAATTTACCTAAAAATACCTTCTGTATCCAGTCCATTTTCACGTATAAATTTTACTGTTTCATACACAACTCGAGGTAGGAATTCATTGTTACTTTTTGTATATTGAAAAACTTCGTCCAAATGAGTACCAAACAAAGCTTTTAGTAGAAGGATGAAAACGAGACATAAAAGGATTCACAAAACAACAAGCGAAGAATAAAATTTGATTCCATTCTTTGTTAAACGGTCTAACTGGATAATTAACTTTGTTAGCTAGAAGATGGTTTTGACTATGTGCATTATAATTTGATACTCATATACTTGCATTATTCACAAAATACTAACTGATTCCTACCTAACTATCCAGTGGTAACCTTGGTTAAAGACAACAAGACTTTCTTTAATATCATCACCATTTCAGTAACGTTTTAAAAACGAAATATTAATCGACTGCTGTTCATCATAGCCTTGGACTAAATAGCTTCGATACTATAACTATTTTACATATTACGATACACTAGACGCATCTCATCTCACAATATTTTATGTCAGAACAAAACACATAAGCGAACAATATTACTTTCAGTTGGATCCCTTCCAGGCTTTACTCTGATATAAATACTTAAACATATACAAAGTATAAAACATTCATATGGATTTGCTGGTCAATGGTAAGTGTTTCCAAAGTATACGGATTGTAATAACGATGGTGGTAGTAATAAAAATAATAATGTTGTCAGTGATAGTGACAGCGTTGATTAAAGGAGTCGTAATAATAATAGGAATAATGACGATGATGAGAACGAGAGAAACAACATGAAAATGTATGCACTGACAATCAAAATGGATCAAAAGCTTGCAAAATAAAAGTTGCCTTAGCCTAATAAATGTATTAAGTGGATTAAATTAAGTCTAAACAAATGTAGTAGGTGTAGGATAGTGGTGGGGAATAAGAAAGACATGGAAGAATTTCAGCAATAAGGCTGTTTATCAGGTTTTCTTTAGCCAACAAAGCAAAAAAAGCATGTAGAAACGACTTCTGGATGGAAAGACAGATTACTAACTCAAGTTCCTATAATTTCCGCAAAGTGTAAAGGCAAGTATAAATACCAATTGAGAGAATAAGTGTTTTGTGGCAGATAATCTACTACGTGACCACTATCAACTAGATAAGATAAGAAATAACTTCTTACGGATCTTATCTGTCTCTCTCCCAACCGTTAAGTTGAATGCTCAGCAACGCGTCTGTTAGGCTGCTTAGTAGTATGTATGCTCTATATAGCTGGTAAAATCGTAAATACACTCAGAAACGGCGAAACTAGGTAATTTATCTTTCGTTTGTGCAACAACAACTGGTCAGCTGGGAAATGGTAAAAAGAGTTCCACAGTTTAGAATGTCCATTTGAAGTCTCTAAATAGCCTCTGTCATAAAAACTTACTGACTACACAGCTTGATGAACAGAGGTTTCTTCTGAACAGTAATAAATTCAGATTTCCTTCCCCTTACTTCATGTTTCTGCCTTTTTATGAAACTGTAAGAGTATCCTTTTTCACTCAGTGAGTTATGGACCTATTGTAACTCCTTGTGTTAAAACGTCAAAACATATTCTTCTCCTTCTGTTGGTAAGGAATTTATCGAGGTTTACTCTGTACCGAATCGACATGTGGCTAAGAAAATATATGTGCATGTGTAATGCCGTCAGACTGGCGTACTTCACTGATCATCTCAGTCTATAAGAAGGGGGATAAATCTTCTTGTGACACCCACAAGAGAACTAATATTGTGTCCAAGATCCTAGGGTCCATAGTTATCCGACGCGTAGCTGGAGCTTTAGGACAGCAAACTTAGGAAAAACATGCAGGTGTCAGACCTGTTATGGGTAAATCGACCGAATTTTTACCCTAAGACAGACTCTGGAGCACAAGCATACCTACTGGCCAATCACTGACAGTTGTCATATTTCTTAACGTCAAGGTGGCATTTGACTTTTTCGATTGTGAAGTGTTGTGGTGGTGTCAGACTGTGAAGGGAGTTCAGAGAAAGTATATGACGTTCAATAAAGCTCTCTGCTTGAAGTCAAGCAGACGCGTAAGGGCTAATGGTAGGTTATCATGTGTACTGACGACAACTAATGGTGTACCCTAGGTATGTCCACTGTCACCGTTCTGTCATTGCCCTAGGTACGTCTGACTTCACAGGGACTGACGCTATGGAGGTCAGTTATTTGGCTTGGAGTATCAAAACTATACTTTCCTGCTAGGTTTAGATACTGACAAAACACAAGGTCTTTTGAAAGGGTTGAGCAGAAATCTGTGCATGTTTGGCCAGCATTAATTTCCCACCCGTCAAATGCAAGCTGATGTTCCGGGACTAGTCTACTGCAAGTACTCCAAGTTTATCGACAAGAACTCAAGTGGTGAAATTTGTCAATTACTTCACTTGCTTCGAAAGCTGCATCAGATAGAACGAACTGATTTATAGTAAAATATCAGCTGGCTCGAAAGTAGCCCATGTGGCATTTGCAAACTTGCTTCAAAGATGGCGCCGATCAACGAGATATCTATTTATCTATCAGAACACGAGTATATTGCGATGCGCTGTGTTCTGTCCCTTTACACAAGGTAGAAAACATGTGGCGGTTACATGGTTTTGATCACTGGTGTCTCCGTAACACTGCTCGTATCTTGTGCAATCACCGGCGGGCAATATTTGGGTCAAACGAAAAGTACTGCATGAGATATGTTAGTTGATTGCTGAGGTTTTGAACCTTAGTCGACTTGGATACATTGGACATCACGATTCGCCAATATTCTTATTCTTGGGACAGTCAGCTGTATAGATTAACAGTTGGAAGAAAAGTCTATCAATAGAAGAATCCCGATAGATGTCCTTAAATAATTATTGGTCAAAAGTACGATGTATGTTTACTTTAAATTTAAAGGTGAACTAAATAGACAAGTGAACGGATTCATGATGGACTCAACACTGGAGCCCGTGATATCGAACCCTTTTCTATCTGAACCAGAGAATAGTTTATTTGAACTATCCATCACAGAATTTTCATCTTCCTGTCGATATATGGTTGATAAACTCATTCTATGTGAAAACAAGGTGAACTGATCAAAAATACTCAGAAGATTTAAAACAACACGCACAATCATGAACTTAATAAATGCGGAAACGTCACACTACAATATGGCCTTATTCAACTTTTCTTCTCTCAAGATGAAAACAAGGGTGGATAAAAAGAAATCGCATAAGAAAAGTATGTGGACGAGGGGAACATATTTTCTCAATTTCTTCACCCTCGCATTACGAAAGAAGTTCAGTAGAATAAAAAGTAAATGTTGGGAACATATAACCAAGAAGCAACAAACAACTTAACGCCACACAAAACGAAAATCGCCATCCTAATAATTTCATAAAGATATATAAGTTTATAAAAATGGTAAGAAATGATATTCCAATAGCTAGCAGAAAAAAACTATAAATTCGGATACAGTTAACAGGTTTGGAGGTCATTTAACTTTATCTGTCGTCTGGGATCCTAGTGGAACATAGGGCTTCAGTAGTACGTTTCCATTTCACTCTCTTATCTACAGTCTGCCCAACCTGGCTCCACGACAGCCCACAAGCTTTCATTCCTTCATCATATGGTCTACTCCATGTCACCCTCACATGCCACACCCAACTCGCCGTTCCCCATGCGGGTTCCACTCCAGGGCCTAATCTGGCGCTTGATGTCCCAAAACGGTCTTCTCAGTGTATGCCTGATCCATCTCCTCCTCCTTCCACATATTTGTTGGGAGATAGGTTGTTGGTTGGTTCGTTGCCACCCAGCCAGAGTTCCTTGTTGTTTATTCTCATCATTCTGTTCATCTCATCGATATTCAGTATCGAGTGAGCGTATGTGACAGCTGTTGATGAATGTCTGTAGTTTGTTGGAAATGCTTCACGTGACGCTGCAAACTACTGAACCACACAGAAGCACCGACTTGACTGAATTAGTGTTGAAAATCCGGATGTTGTTTTTTGTGCTGAGTTCAGTAGATCTCCACACTGATTTCAGATTAGTGAAAGCCTGTCTTGCTTTCCCTATCCTAATTTTGACATCCTCATCCGTGCCTTTGTCGTCTGTAGTTGAAACGATACTGCCCTGCCTAGGTGGTAGGTGAAAGAGACTACTTCCTTTAGGTCTCTCCCTTTGATGGTCATTGGTGCTTCTTCTTCTTCTTCTGGTTGTTGTTGGTTGGGTATCTTCATCACCTTTGTCTTCTCTACGTTCACCTGAAGTCCCGTCTTCATTCACTTCCTCACCACTTCTGTCAACTTGTTGGTTTTTGACTGTAGATCTTCGAGTCTGTGCGTTGAGGCATCAGACATGAATCATCATTGGCGAAATCCAAATCTTCTTCTGGGATATTTCCATCGATCTAGTCAGTGTATGCCCGTCTCCTCGCACCCAACAGTTTGTTGTATGATCGAGCCCAGTCGATCACAATCAAGAAGATCATGGGTGGTAGGTAGTAAGCGGCAGCCTTTTCTTACACCTGTCTTCACTTCAAAGGCGTCACCGAGCTTTCCATTGTGGATCACTTGGCATGTGGTGTTTTCATATAGCTGTTGAGTGAAGTTGACAGAGGTTTGTGGCACTAAGACCAGTGTTAAAGCAACTGCCAAATTTCTTCTCGGTCGACGCCTCTGTCGAAGGCCTTTGCAAAGTCGATGAAGTTGAGGTAGAGTTGAGTTGACTGCCATTCTACACTCTGTTCAATGATTATGCGTAGCGTAGCGTAGTGTTGCAATTTGATCCGCACATGGTTTGTTCTACTTGAAGCTAGCCATCCAGCCAGCCAGCCAGCCATCCAGCCAGCCTGTTCCGGTCATGATTTTTAATCCAGCGCATCCCTTTGTCTCTCCAGGATGATGCGGCTTAATATTTTGCTTGTTGTGTGTGGACAGGAGTGGAGCACGATTCCGCGCCAGTTCTTGCAGACACTGAGGTCTCTCTTCTTCGGGAGTTTGACAAGGTAGACCTTCTTCCAATCAGTTGGCAGGTACCTCTCCTTCCTCCCACACCTTCTGCAATAGTGGTGTGGTGTGAGCATGTCGGCTGTTGTCTCTGAGTCTGTTTTCAGTGCTTCTGGAGGAATTCCA